AATATCGTGAGTAATATAAATACAATAGAATGATACACAAAATATCTGTCTATGAACTTATTACGTTTATGACCTCCAGAATTACATTTTAGCAACAAAAATTTGTAAATTACTGACAAACATGCGATAACCTTTTCCGGTACTATGATATTTTTAAACCAAACAAGAATTACTGGCTTGGCTTTGCCTTCTAAGCGGACATAGTAAATATGTTTCAATTATTTGGTAATGAAAAATCATTTTTTTATTTGTTATTTTATTTGTATTTTATCATCCACAAACACATTGTATTAAAATTTACCTTACTTACCTATATTTAAAAAAACGCGAGACACCAATTAAATCTAATGCTTCATTAGTTTTGTTACTTTGTTTTATTTTCTATATTTATTATCAATTTACCAACTTCGGTTTTAACAAGTTATAGAGAAATGATTTTTTTGTACAAACAAGTAACTACTACATAGCTAGTTTGTTTTACCTATATGGTTGAAATCTATTATTATTTATAAATGCGATACTTCTAATTACAATTGCTTCCTTAATAACTTGCCATTTTTGCACAACGTTTATTCAATTTACACCCACTACTATCTTGTAGTACTTCCCTCCCACTATAACACAGTGCATTCTTTACTTATTTTTTGTTTACATGACCATATCCATTGTAATATTGTGAGTTATGAATGATCGTCGACGTATTTACATCTGCGACTTGGACTAATGATTTTGTTTCTATTAGAAAAAAGCTATATTTTTCATTTAAATGTGTAGATAATACATTTTTAGATGCGGTTGTACAATGTTTATTTATTTCAAATAGTGCGCGTACAAGTTGTTCTGTTACTTGTAATGGATTTAACATATGCGCAAAGTAGTTTTTTATTTATTTCACCACTCCATCCGTCTTCCCGTTACCTATTAACACACAAATAGTTATATTATTCTATAAAGTAGTTTCTAAAATAATTAAAAAAAAGACGTATTTATTTTAGCGCTAATAAATTTATCGGACAATAAAGGCGTATGGACAGTGTATAAGTTTAAGTAGGTATGAAGTTCTTATTTATTTGTTCACCTTGACTTCATCTATAAATTAATTATAAAGTAGTGGAAGTTTCAATCGATAATGTTTATAATTATCATACTTAATTATAAAATACTTCATACATATCCATTATTGACGTCCTCAGTAACCGAGTGGTTTATACGTCGGGTTTCATGGTGTCGCCGACTCAAGAGGTCCCGGGTTTGAATCCCGGTGGGGGCAGATGTTTGTGTGATGAATACGAGCATTTGTACTCCATTCATGGATGTTTTAATATATATATTTCTATATAAATATACTTATATATGTACAGTATATGTATTCTATCTGTTACCCTAGTATCCCATAACACAAGCCTTACAGTGCTTACTTTGGTGCCAGGCTAATTGGTGTGAGTGTTGGAAATATTTATTTATTATTAATTTAGGCAGATGAACCCACGGGCACCGTTAGTAAATCCATAAACTAACGCCTATTGCACAGAGCGGTAGGAAGAGAAAACCAACAATCTTTATTTACCACTAGCTGTGCCCCGCGGTGTTACCCGCGGTTTATTAGGGAAAATTCATTTTCATTCATTTTCCCATGGGAATAAAATATTTTCCCGCAGTAAAACGTCTAATATTTTAACGCAGTAAAAGCCATGTGTTAATCCAGGGTGTCAGCTAACTCCATACCAAAGGAGATTGCTCAGCTTCCATACATGTTTGGCCTAAAGACCAATAATCATGAAAAATTGTTTCCTAGATTCGAAATTATATATAAATTACTGTAGAAACGAATATTATTGACGGACACCCCTGAGAACTTATATAAACCATATACACTGAACACATTAAAATAATAAAAAACAAATAAGTTATATAGTAAACTAGGGAAATCAAGTCAAGTACCGAAATTATGGATTAGATTCAGGTATATAGAGCATGTAGATTAACAGATAGTTGCCTGTTTTTAAAGTTAATGCATAAGAGTAACTTTTAAAATCAATTGTCATTTCCGGTTATAATAAAGTACTCTGTGACAGAAACTGTGTGATGATTGTGAATGAGCCACAGATTAGAGAGAATTTTTAAATTCTCGTTAACCAAAGAAAGCTAAGAGATTTAGGTTCTATAGCCATATATTCAGTAGCTTCATTATTTTTGTTATGTTTTTAACATAACTATATTTTAGATTTTTAGTGTATCACACCTTATAATTTTATTTAGTTATTAATTTATAGTCAGGGAACGTAGGCCCATAGATAGATACCTTAAAGTCTAACATATATACAGATTATAATGTGTTTATGGAGTTGTTTGGCGAAAAATGTATGGCAATAGACTTTATGATGTCGCCTACCATCTATAATAATTGTCTAAGCACATTTGAATCTAGTGAAAAAGATAATAAAGTTGTGGATATTAATACCACAGTGTAATAAAAAAAATGATTTATTTTATCCATCTTTACAAAATAGATTTGTTTTTATGTTATATAAACAACTTCGATCAGTCTTTGGCTGAATGTTACAACACCCATAGCTATTAAAAATGATTCTTATGTTTTCCAAACCGGTAAAAATAAAAGTCCTTTTTAAAGTAAATACATTATACAAAGGTGTCCGTTGAAATCTAATGACTGTAAATTAAATCATAAATTACGCCAAGAATTACCGTGTATGTCAATATTTTTTGTGCATTTAGGCCAATTTGAGCAATCTCCTTTAATTAAAATCGCTCCAGACGTTTAGACGTGAAGAAGTAACAAACATAATAAACACTCACAAACTTTCGCCTTTATAATATAAGTGTGATAATTGCAAGATTGATCACTCACTTATTCGAGTGTAAATACTCAGCAATGTGTCATATTTAAAGCCATCAAAAACAACTTGTAAAAAAACCAAGTCTTACAACTCAGTTCTACTTATTTGTTTCTTAGGTTTTCACGCACATCACTCATTAAATAAAACTAGTTTTTACGGGTTAATGCACGAAACTTTATTTATTTATTGACGTTTCGTAGCCTTTACAGGCTTCGTCGTCAGAATAAAACTTTTATTTAATTTGTCGAGCTACCTTCGAAAGACTTTTATTGAGCGTTTCAGTTCTATTTCTTCTACCGTCAAAAGTTGAGAGATCCATGTTATGACAAGTCGGTTAATTTATTCAGTCCCTACTTAAGGAAGCTTCTGTCTTGAGCTATTACTAAATTAACTCACCTAACAACATTTTATACTGACCATATCAATATTAAAAATATTGTATGTTTTAAATAAAAAAAATATTTGGCACTGGTATGAAAACACAATGTATCTCACATATTATATTAAATTAGATTGTTGAGTGCGTTCCTGCTACGTTCTTTTGTTTTCCTTTCTGTTGTTTTTTCTGACTTTGTCGTCATTTGTTATTAATTGCTGGGGTACAGCTGAGAGCTAACAACAACAGATGCAGACGGAAAATTTCGATCAGTCTCAGTAGATTCATTTACTAGATCCATGATGGATCTAGTGAGAATTTATTTTCTCTGATTGGGTTAACGTGCCATCTAAAACTTAGAGTAATTCAATAATATTTATTGTCACCAATTCGATGACGACTATTGCTAAAGTTCTTAAATTCCTAAATCAATAACTTAGCCATCGAGTTATTTTTTCAGTCTCAGTAGATTGATTGATGATTCATGTAGATCCATGATGGATCTAGTGAGAATTTATTTTCTCCAATTCGGTTAACGTGCCTTCTAACGTAACGTAACTCAAAGTAGTTCAAGAATATTCACCAACTTCGTCATCGAGTTATTTTTTAAAGTCTCATAAATCTATTTGATAATGATTTTGTAAACAGAGTAAAGTAAAATGACACATAGTACAAAATATGTATATTTGGCAAGTTACAATTCAAATAGGTTTTAAATTCATGGTACACAACGACATGGTAACTGTTTTCTTTAGTAACTACTCTACAGAATGATTTACGATATTAGTGTCATAAAACCATAAAGATGATATAAAGGACGCTTATGGTGATCGTCTTAGATTGGAACCGAGATACTTTAATGCCCTTATCCATTGACATTGAAGTGGGTCGAGCGGAACGCGGCTAAATAAATTAAAAGTCGACCCACAACCCACAGTGGCTCTCTGCGTTGTTTGTCGTCAAGCAATTTGTTACTGGTCATTTATGTAATATAGAAACTCGTATGATGGTTTTAGTATCATCTTGTCTCAAACAATGTCGGTATGTTTTCATCAGACCACGAGGGCTGCGGATATTGCATGGAAAGCTTTTGTAAATGTTGCGGAGTTCGCTAAAAATGCAATGTAAATATTGTGGTTATAAATGTAAACAAATGCGAAGCGGGCGTGGGCGGCGGCGGAGCGTGCGGCCTCCGCGCCTACAGTGTGAACACATGTTTGCACACAAATGTAAACACATTTGCCACCCGATTCTCTTGTCTTGAGTCTTGAGCACGTCATTTAATTGGTCATTTATCTCAATTTACGTTGGAAAATTATGATAAAAAAACTATGGTAAAACTTTGGCAGGCGTTGTTGCGTTTAATGGCAATAATCAATGCATGCAGTCTAACCGAAGCTTCTTTCTCTGTAATTTTAATATCAGATGTTTATTTTGTTCCAAAAATTACATTTATGTATGCAATCTAGCCATTGCATCTACACTCCTGCACACACAGGAAATCTCCTATAATCTGATGCGATTGTTAGTACATTCGAGCAGGAAATTAGAGCTCATTTACTTCCTTCGTGAACAGGTTTAGTCCTAGTTTTCCGATAGGTATGATAATGTTAAGATACGCTAATCTAACATTCCTGATCGAATATCCAGTTTCTGGTCTGTTGCAAGACTTAAAATCTATGTATAGGTTTAATTCGAATGAATACGATAAATATGTTCAATTTGAAACAATACTAAAACCTTAGATAGCAAATAGATCGACTTACTTTCCGTTGGTAACAGTTGGATTTGGTGGCACTGTCGTCGTCGCTGTGGTGGTGACGTCTTCGTGAGTGAGTTTCCTTATGGTTCGGGGTGAGACGGGTGTCTGAGGCGACGGTGGTTCAGGGGTGGCTGTGCGTTCGTCGTCGTCGTCCTCGATGGGGCGGTAAGAGCGGTTGCCGCCGAGCGCGCGGCGGACCAGCTCGGGGCTGGCAAGACGGTTCGGCGCGCGGAGCATGCCGGGGCGGAGGCCGGGCGCTCCGTAGGTGAAGGGCGCGGAATCGGCGCGCGCGTGGTACGGTATGTCGGGTGCGGTGTCGGCGCGCGACTGCGCCGGCGGGTCAGGCAGCGCGCTCACAGTGCGCAACATGTCGCCGAGCAGCGCGTCCAGCTCGTCAGGCGGACTGGGGGCGGCGCGGCGCCCCGCTGACGAGATACCCGAATCCATCGAGGCACTCAGCGGCGAGCCTGGACCCCCAGTGCGAACCACCGTCGCATAGATCGATCCGTCCAGCGGACCAAACGTATGAGCTGCTTCAGTGCCCTCCCCTGCTTCACCGCCCGATCCCGATCCTTCAGCGCTACCGTTATTTTCACCTGCAGCAAAAAAAATACATTTAAAAACTTTCATTAGAACTTCAGCTATAATGACAAGTTTTAAGCGCCCATTTGATGTTCACGTTACAATTTAGTGACGCTTTAATTATAGTGAGCCTCTAAATTGGATCCGACTCGCTCCAATAAACTAACTGGGAGGCGACGTAACAAGATGGTATCTGAGCGAACACGTGTAATTTTCTACCACACTCCCCGAGGCCACGAGCCATTAGCATTTCAAATTGACTAATTGCGATTTATTATTGGAAATAAACGTGTGTTAGCTTGGAAATAATCTATTAATTAAGTGTCTATTTGCTTGTTCTTAGAGTCGTCCATTGGCCGGTAGTGATCCGACTAGATCCTTAAAAGGATAAGTTGGTCTCCCGTTACTAAGGCAGTCAGTCCTAGGCAAGACCGCTGTCTTACGGAATGGGTTTAGGAAAACATTGATTCATTTCACGCACCACTGATTAAAAAGCACCTTTTCAACGGGTTACAAATGTGGCAATTTATAATACTTTTATACATTTCTTATATTCATTTTATCATATGAAAGTTTCTTAACTGTATTGTTTTTGGTTGGGAGACATGTATAAATGTATTAAAAAGACGAGTGTGCTTATGAACACGCGACTGAAGTGAAACTTCTTTAACTCCATCGGTTTGTATATATATGTATGTGTGTACAATATATACATGTATGTACATATACATATTTCATTTACTAGCCATAAGAGAAAGAAAGAAAGAAAATCTGCGCGCTCATTGCCTTCTTTTGCTTATATCCCCCACTCAACTCCCGTTCGCCTCTTCCGAACACAATTTTCGTAATGCGTAACGCATTTGCCAGCTTACCCCCAAAGTCAAACGTAGCCCATATCACCCATTAATATTAAATATAAATATAGATTCATATTTTCTGGTTTTCTGTGTGAATTGAATTGAAACACTTAAGATTGAGACACAAACACGGTAGCTAAGTTCTTTTTAACTTTTTGGAACAGAGTATGTCTGTTGATCACAGATAACCTCGATGTCAATAAAATACGCAGGCACTTCAACGCCTGTTGTCGGTTCAAGGCGATGGACTTGAACTAATACGTATGAGGAGGAGGCCTCATAGGTATATACTTAAACATGGGCGAAACAGTTTTAGCTTTCATTGACATTAAGTACTTATATTTACAAGTGTTACCCAGAAAAGTGATTGAAAAGCAAAACAATAGCTTTAGAATCTACGATAAGCAACTTTTTGACACAAATTTGAGGCAAAAAAGATATCCAATTTAAATCTACACACCTAAAAATGTACGGGCATAAAAGTTGTTATTGTTGTTATGGAGAAAAATAAAAAATAGCCCTTAAGTATAGGATCATTTAATTTTCTGTCTGTTCGTCAGAAACCCTTTTCACCAGAATGCGTGCAGGTATCAAGCTAAAATTAATATCAAATACTCTGGTCTGCAATCCTTGGAGAACTGAAAAAAAAACTGATTTCTATATCTGATATTCGGACGGACGACGGAGTGTTTATGCTCGGTTTATTATGCCGCATATTTTGACACTCGTAAGGGCATCCAACCTTAATAGGGTATTTCCCGTTGACCTACAATTATGAAATTCAGCAAATAGCAAGATCATGTTATAAAAGTTTCACTTGAAAAAGCTAACACCTAAATATAATAAAAAAATACCGGCCAAGTGCGAGTCGACCTCGCGCACGAAGGGTTCCGTACCATTACATACAACATTAGACACTTTATTAAAATATCAAACAAAAAACGGCAAACAAAACACTTTTTTTGGATGGGAACCCCCCTTAAATATTTATTTTATTTTATTTTAATTATTTATTTTTAAAGTGAATATACAACTCATAATATTCTGTGAATATTTCAGGCAAGACCTGTTGTCGTTGTTAATATAGAGCAAAAGAATCCAAAAAAAAAACACGTTTGCATGGGGCCCCCTTAAATATTTAAATTATTCTGTTAGTATTTGTAGCGACAACATCAATACATCCCATACATTCATCTGTTCAAAATTTCAGCTGTCTAGCTATAAATAAATAAAATAACAAGACACCAATTAGCCTAGCCCCAAAGTAAGCACTATAAGGCTTGTGTTATGTGATACTAGGGTAACGGATAGAATACATATACTGTACATATATAAGTATATTTTTATAGAAATACATATTAAACATCCATGGCTGGAGTACAAATCTCGTATTCATCACACAAACATCTGCCCCCACCTGCAGACGGAAATACAGACAGACGGAGAGCAGTCTTAGTAATAGGGTTCCGTTTTTACACATAGGGTAACCTTAAAAGAAAAGTGTTCGAGACTCGATTCCCGCGATGACCGGATTTACTTATAAGTAGGTAAAAATTTGTACGAGTGAAACGGTTTTGGGTAGTTCGACAAAGTAAGGAATTTTCGACAGCTCAGCTAAAATGTCATGAAAAAATTGTTACAACCAAGTTTATTTTCATAACATATTGTTTACCATACCTATATCTACCTAGTCTCTAAAAATAATTTAGATACTAATATATTATCTTAGGAAAAAAAATACTCAAAGCGTCAAATTCCCAGGATCCTGGAGTGTCCCACGAGCAAAATTGAATCTAATGTGCAATATTATTTATTTTCTAAGTACATTGAGCCTATAAGTTTAACCAATATTAATGATATCCTATTATTATTGTTACCTAGGTGACATATTATTAATTTACTGTAACAAAAACATTATAAAAACTTTGTCCAGAAGTTGTCCCAACAGTTTCATATCAGGATCCTGCCCAATGTTAAATAAGCAAATATTCAATATTCTATTAGCCGCGCGATCTTGACGTTTAGCCGAGTTTGTTGCCGGTACGTAAGAGACAAAGAATACCACCTATTGTTTTGCACCCAGTGTGTTGCTTAGTCTGCCCGGCACATTTGATGGACGAAATCGCGTCATAATCAGTCGAGCTCACAGGATCCTGGTAAGATATTTAATTACGAAATTCATGTGGTAATACGGCAATTGTAGCATTTTGATGTATATATTGCTTACACGAAGGCTTAATGTTGCTTGATTTTGGTTGAATGTTATAAATAGACGTTATTTTTAAATATTATTCCGAAATTCTCAGGAACCTGGTCTCAGGATCCTGTCAAATAACTGAGAAAAATGCAGGATCCTGAGTGTTTATATTGAAATATAATTTTTGTTCAACATCATATGTAAAGTCAAAATAATAATAATATGTTTGTTAACATTATTATTTTATTAAAGCTAATTTTGTAGATTTAATGATAAAAGTTCCTGTTCAAGACTGATTTAGATAGATAATTAGTATAAGTCAAGAATAGAATTAATTATCACGATAGTTCAAGATATTTGGACAATTACAAACTAATGGTTAGAAGCATAGTTTTTATTTGTGAAATTATTATTAAATAAACGTTGATTTTGATTGATATTTGTTTGAATCCTCAGTCTCCTGATTACAATCTCAGTTTCCTGCTGCTTGATTTCTTAAAATTGCCATAACTCGAATATTTTTGAATATTTTGTCCGTTCCACTTAATATAGGCTAAAAGACCATGTAATCTTTATGATAAACTATATTTTGTAACCATAATGAAAAAAAAACGTCGGGCCGGAATCGGACTCATTTTCGTCCTTAGTTTGTAGAACAACCCTTTTATTTTTTATTGTTATGGTAATAGGTATAGGTAACCTAACAACAGATTCTACAAAATCACTCGGATCGTTGTTGTATTCCTTTAGAGTCTGACTCAACATGGTCAGGAGATTAGCCAAGTTACTCTAATATCTAACTAAATAGCTAGTTTCGTGATGAAGATCTTCATTTTTATGTTACCATTTTATAAGTTAATCTAGGCAGAATTTATACAACCAAGAATCAAGTTCAAAGCAAACCAATGTTTACGAAAAGAAAATGGTTTATATTTCGATCAAAGTCGTGGCTGACGGGGCGTTGAAAATTACAAAAATTAAACACTGCACGGCCAGCAGTGCTATTCTGTAAGAAAAAACTCACTTTTCGCCGGTGGGATTTGAAATTTGTTGTGTTCGAATTTGAAATCGCATGCGGATTTCAAATCACAGAGGTATCAATAGAAATTTCTGTCCTTTTCATGTGTCACAAATGGGTTTCATGTTTTTGTTGGTGAGTTGGACTCAACAGGGATTGAGTTTGGACCACCAAGATGAGGATGTCTGAGATGCACACTGCGCCACTATAGACTCCATTAACAATTAATATCAGGTGGGATTTCCCATCCCATATGCTGTATAGGTATTGAAAAAAAAATGGTTTTATTACAAATTGCTTGTATATTTATATTTTTTGTTGTCTTTTGCATTCCAGTATATCATCGATCGCCTGCTGTGTTCATAATGAAAGTACCTAATATTATACTGCTCCCATGGCGTGTTATTATATAATATTCATTCGCAGATTTAAATTAACCCCACAGTTGATTACAATATGGTTATAAATTATTCATTGTTTATATGTTACCTTAGTGAGTAGGCGTCAATTGTTGCGCGTAATGAAACACATTTCACTTAATTAAAAGACAATTCAGTCGATAATTTGATATGACACATCTGTTCACTGGTGGGAAACAATCCACGCCTTATATGTTAACAGATTTTGGCAAGACAACCGCTTAAATGATGTTCGAACTACTAGCGAGTAAATACTGAATGCTAATAAGGTGGAGTTACTTCGGCACGCATCTCATTTGCATAATAAATACTAACAGCTTATTCGCTCAACGCTCAACTAAAACATTTAAACTTTCTGTGGCGAACGCTCGTGGTACGCATGTTTGTATCTAATCGTTACGCCTCATACACGCACATTTCGAAACTGAACTAAAAGTGAGGTTGTCAATAACGCAATTAGTGTAAAGATATCAACGTCAGCGTCTGGTGACCGTCAGGCGCTGTTAAGGAAGATGTGGTTATT